AAGTGTAAATTTTGTGTGTACTTTTAAAACTTCAGTTCATACTTAATGTGCAAAAAAAGTATTATGTGCAGAATATGGTAAATAAAAGGGAGGGTTTTCTCTCTCTGATCCCCCCTCCTTTATTATGCATTTTTCTTGATGTTTTTTATGTTAGCAAGCTTAAGCTGTCCTGGTATCCCAATTATGTCTTTTCTGTTCTCCATCCTTCCATATTCTTTCTATCCTTTCTTTTGTCTAAAGACAGAATTATCATTTGGCCATATGGCCATTCATTTTCTCTTGTATTCACCTGAAAGAATTTGAGTATCACAGATTCAATCACCTGCTTCAAGTTTTTTTTCCCCTACCATTCGACATGAAAGGCCAGATTAGGGACAGATTGTCATGGAGAAGATCTGTGTGGTGATTTAGAATTGATATCAACTTGGAGGCATGTAATCAAACTCTACAAACCAGAATTGCACAGCATTTTGGATTCCAAAGGAAGTAGGTACTTCAGAAAAATAACTTTTTCCCCCTGAGATCTTGCAGTTGCCCTCTAGAATTACTCTGTGATCCTGGGAAAATGTATTTGGTTTAAGGAATGCTGCCATGTATGCACACTTATGCATTTCAAAGCACTTTTAAAAAAAACCTTTGAATTAGAAGCATAGTACAATCACTATAGAAAGTTACCCTCAAGTGAAGAATTTGCTGTTGCAAATTTATTTGGAAGATATTTTTTCTTCTTTTAGAAGGGAGTCTTTTCAACCTCCCTCTTTTTTCATGATTTGTTATATGCAGAACAGGCTTAAAGGTTTTGCAAATACCAGTACCTAGTTTGGTACATTGAATGAAATAAAATATTGCTTTGAAATTTAGTACAGTTAAGGGAGGGAATTGAGAAAACGATCACTCTAGTTCTGCAATTCTCAACAGCTATCTTAACTATTTTTAAAATCTTCCATCATTGAACCATATTAAGATTTCTGAATTAGTACTATTCAGCAGAGATGTAAATTGAGTTCACCCTGAACCATTACTTTTTTCCTCACCCCCACCTTCTCCTTTCTGTAGGATGGTGTCCTGAACTTGATTGCCATGGCTTCTTTGAAGGAATATTCTCTGTACTGTTAAGAAATTATAATATCCAATTAACTTGGGTGAAACTGCAGGAACATTTTTTAAAGGCTACTAAGAGGTAGAAGAAGATATAAATCTCATTTGTTTATATCAGAAAATATAAATAGGCCAACTTTGGAAAAAAAGAGGTCAGTATTAAATATCGGATTAGCATAAATCCCTAATTTGGAATTTCAGGTGCTTCCTGTTACAGGTAGTCCTTGACTTAAGACCACAGTGGAGCCCAAAATGTCTGATGCTAAATGAGAGAGTTAAGTGAATTTTGCATCATTTTATGACCTTTCTTGCCACGGTTAACTATCAATGCAGTCGTTAAGTTAGTAACATGATTGCTAAGTAAAGTCCCCATTGACTTTACTTGTCAGAAGGTTGCAAAGGATGGTCACATGACCCCATAACATTCCAACTATCATAAATACATGCTAGTTCTAAGCATATGGATTTTGATCACATGACTATGAGGATGCTGCAACGGTAATAATTTTGAAAAACGGTCATAAGTCACTTTTTTTCAGTGCCGTTGTAACTTCAGACGGTCATTAAATGAACTCTTGTAAGTTGAGGAGTACCTGTACTTCCTTGCAAATAATTACTTGCATATATGAAGGAGTCATCAGATACTAAGTATCTCCATTCTTTGGATTTAATATTTTTCAAAATAGTTGGAAAACTGACACATACATACCTTTTGACAAAATAATATGACAGAATACCTCTACTAAAATAATGATTATGTTTATCAAAGCTGGAGTTTTCTTATCAGTTACAACTTCAGAACTACAGTAGTCCTGTAACAGACCATTAGCTTTTCTTGTTAAGTACATTAGCAATAGCACTTTCAGGGATCATTGTAAAACTACTTACTTGCAACATTTTCTACAACTCTCCACCCAAAAACTCTAGTGATTCATCATGCTAATACTAGTGTGGTAGGTTTAAGACCGTATCTATTTTTGGTGTTGGAAAAATGCAACAAAAACAAGTTGCTGCCTGCAAATTCCAGTGAACCAAGATGAGCGTACCTCTATCTGTAATCTGGCAAATACATTGAAAGTTCAGATCAATGATATCAGGGCAGATTTTCCCTAAACTTCAGTCAATTCACTGATCTTTCCTATGCAATATATAGATATAGTACAGGCAAATAATAGATAGTTTTTCAATTCTGTGCAAAGCAAATGCAAGACACAGACTTGGACAATATCAAGTGTGAACAGCATCTGACATCTTAAAAATATATTGTTCCCATCTGAGAAAGGGTTGGGCAAACTGAGGGGAAAACAAAAATGAAATATCAGTGCTAGTGGTACTGGTCTTTGCCTCTGTCCTGTAAGTTGTTCATTATTCACAGTCCATCATTTACCCGTAACTCCTATTATGGCAGTGCAAGAAATACATAACAAAAAGCTATAACTTCAAGAATAAAGAATGCAAAGTGAGAAATTGCAAGCTACATCGAGGCCTTGATCCTGCTTAAATAGTCCAGTGGTGGTTGATTAATTGCCTCTACAGTTTCAATATTATGAAGCATCTCTACCACTCATGCACCAGAAGTGTTTGTGTGTATATTTATAAAAATTCTGCACCGAAAAAAGATAATCCAGGTTAGTCTAAACCATATGGTTGAAACTGTTGGCATATTTTACTTTTCATCAGTTTCAATTGTATGGTTTCTATTTTGCTAGTCAGAAGAGCAAAGGACAGGGCATTAGTTCCCCTTGCTAATTAGTCAAAATTTTCTTCAAAAACTCTTGTCTCTTTTGAAATGTTGTCAAGCTATGGCCATCTCCCATATATCTAAAATCATTATTTTAAAAATCATCAAAAGAGGAGAAAGATACAGTGGGGGTGGGCAGATTTACATAGAGCAATTCTGTCTGTATTCCCTTCAATATATCTTGTTCATACAAATGCAGGCTGCTTTTATTTTTTTAGAATTCACAAATTCCATCAGTTTTGACAGTTTCCAATTTATACAGGTAGTCCTCGACTTATGACCAAAATTAAGCCCGTTTTCTTAGCTAAGCTAGACAGCTGTTAAGTGAATTTTGCCCCATTTTACACCCTTTCTTGCCACAATTGTTAATGAATCACTGCAACTGCATTAAGTGACACTACTTTCCCATTAACTTTACTTGTCAGAAAAATTGCAAAAAGTGCTCACATACACCCAGGACACTAACTCATAAATACATGCTAATTGCCAATTATCTGAACTTTGATCATATGGGCACAGGGGTACTGCAATAGTTGAAAATGTGAAAAATGGACAAAAGTCATTTTTTTCAGTGCCACTGTAACTTCAAACTGTCATTAAATGAATGGTTCTAACTTGAAGACTATCTGTACAGCACAATCATGTATGTATTTGGACAGAAACCACATTCAGTTTAATAGAATTCCAGCCTGCAGGTTTGTGAATACTTGCTTGCAATTAGCATTTTAGTAGCAGTTGATACACTGCAAACTAATTCACAATATTTAAATGTCTCCATTGAAATACTGAAACAGAATATTCAGAAAATTGAAATGCAGTTAATTTAGCTATTTGAATATATGGTACTTCTTTTTGTGGTTGTGTATATTCAACTAGCTAGTTTAGGAATCTGCTTTCTTAATTATGGAAAAACAGTTTCAAGAAGCCTCAAATCCGCATTCATGATTTTAATTCCAGGGAAAGCCCTTCCTGTATCTTTCACATCTTATTACTCGACATTGATACTCAGTTACTGGTACCACAACATCCTGCTGTTGCTGCTTCCTTATTGAGTCATTGTGCCTATTAGTATATATTTCAAGCAAATTTAATTCAAGTTTCCTGCTATCAAATTTGTCCTTCCTTTTTATAGGCTTCCTTAATTCAGTGTTAAGGGAAGCTATATGCTGTACATTTTGGTATGGTGTACTTTTCTGAATGGTCTTCCTTTAAACAGTATTTCATTTTTAAGGCTCAGATTTCCATGATATGCACCACAAGCTTGTGTGCACACACATTTGTATATATGGATATCTCTATGTAGATATACACACGTACAAATGCAAATGTAAATAGCAGAATGTCATTTGTCCTTTGGTATTTTATGTAGATTTTTTTACAGGAAATTGGCAACATGGGGAGTCATCAGTGGTGGGCTACTGGTTCGGACTGGTTTGGCCAAACTGATAGTGGTTTGGCGGCCTGGGTCGCTGGAACTGGCAGCGACCTAGGCCTGCCACGCCCCCAAATCAGTTCTCCAGGTAGCGCCATAGGCACTGTCATCTTGTTTTTGGCTTCTTTGATGGTTGCTTGCTTGCAAACATTTCGTTACCCAACTAGGTAACATCAGTGCACATCATCAAAGAATTGGTGATGTTACCTATCAGGTAATGAAACACCTGCAAGAAAACAACCAAGCCCAGAGAGCATCAAGGTCTCCATAGTAATGAAGTCAGCACTTCAACTTTCCATGCACTTAGCTGACATCAACGAATTATTGTTATTTATAGATTTGAACTGCAAGACTAATATAGTTGTAATGAAACCACAGAGCACACTAACAATAGAATAACAAAAAATTAACCAGTGTTCCTCTTTTTAAATACACATTAAAGCATTAATTACATATAGTCTTCTTTCTTCTCCTGTTTGGTAGAATGTCTATCCAACTCCCTCTAAGAAGATTGCTTCGTGTTTCTTGTGTTTGCTGTATTGGTGTATGTGATTGTTTCTTCTCACAAGACTAGAATAGTTCATTTCTCCATGATAACAAACATGGGTGAAAGTAGGACCTTTTGGTGATAGTGATAAAGACAGTGGTATGCGTATTTGTGTTTGTGCTATGAGGTTGTTTTTCCTGCACTGTGCTATAGTGACAGAGCACACTCATAAACTTAATTGTACAGGGAAAAATCCACATTTCCATACAGAACAGGCTCCAATTTTAAAATAACAAAAAGGCTCAGTGCAACAATCTATCATATTTGGATTTTTTTAAAAAAACATTTATTTGGTCAGTTTCCATCTTGAACGCTATATCTAAAGCACATTACTCCAAGTCTTGTATACTTCGTATTTTGGGAGACTCAGTTCAATAATTTACAACTAGAATTAGATTGTTGTTTTGAGAGATATATAACCCATCATACCTGAAGGGCACCAGACTAGGGAATGCTATCTCAAGTTCAAAGAGCAATCCTCCCCATCACTCAAGCAAACTGGTTCATCTCCAGTAATTCAAGTATGAAGATAAGCACAACCCCTTAAAGACACATGAACAAAAAGGCATAATTTTTCAACAGAAATGGCTTTTAGGTTTAAAGAGCTTTGTAGAGAAGATTTTATATATATATGCCACCTTTAAGAAGGCTAAACGGATTTATAGGTGGGCCTAATTATCATATGCCCCTTTGTTCCATTTACTGTTTTTAAGGCACAACTTTGTTAACAGTCCTAATAAACCTCACAAATGTGCTGATTTTCCTCCAGAGTGAAGTTTGCCTAAACAAACACTTGTTATATCTGTTTCAGTTACTGGACCGATTCACACGTATGTGTATGCTTGAGAGTTGTATACAGTGCTGCCACTACACAAGGACTAACTTGACTAACAAGTATGAAAGTGTTATTTCATATTTGTGCCAACTTATTTGCACATCTAAATCAGGCAAACCTGGGACCTTCCAGTGCCAAGTTCCATAATTCTGCCAATCTATGGCACCTTACATTTTCTACAGACATACAATTTGCAGGGATTTAGTTCAGAATGCTTTGCCATTAGAATTCAAACACTTGTTGCTGATGTTTGACTGCAAATTGTGATGTACAAATCTGAATGTTTGTAGAAATTTTAAAACAGTACTGATCTATGCAGTAGAAAATTATTTACAGTATCACAGCTCTATAAAACTCTTAGTATTTATGTTTCTAATTTTTTTTAATAATGTAAGACAATGACATTATTTCAGTAATAGACTCTGCAATCATTAAGGTTTGCTTCAGGGGTGAAATCATCATACCTTTGCTACTGGTTGTAAATGTGAGCATGTGTGCAACAGAGCATAAAAATGGGAGGTGGGCGGAGCCTCCCGCCGCCACTGCTACCGGTTCACCTGAACCAGATAGAACCAGCTGAATTGCACCGCTGGTTTGCTTGTATTGTTCTTGTGCTCACAATTGACTAACAAATGTCTAGCCTACTGGGAGGTGTAGCCTTGGAGCAGGGATGGAGTATGCCAGCATAGAAAAAAAATATGACCTGGCTTTTTTTGAGCCAAATATAAAAATATTAATATGGTCCTTGGTTTTGACCCCTTACTCTGAGATTTCCCTTAGAGACCAGGGAAGGAGGCTCTGACCAGACCCTGAAGGCTGAAAGAACACAGCTTGTGGAAGGCCTCCAAGTGAGTTTTTGGTGAACTTTGCTTGAAATTGGAACTAGGCTGAGCAAATATTTGAATGGGTGGGAGGGTGGCTGGCTCCTAAATCATGCTTTTAATCATTATGCTACATGAATTCTCTTGACTGCATCTATCTGAATTAAGCTGATTTAATAACAAAAAAATAATAATTATTTTTTTCCCAACTACAGGTTAAATTCTGGATATTGGTCAAAAGAAGTCTATTTTCAGCCCAGAAAGCATGCTCTTCAGGGAGAGGAGAACCAAAGTTTGTAAGTAATTGTATTGTATAAGCTGTTATCCCCAGTATATTACTTTGTGATATTACATACAGTGATTACTGCATTAGCTCCACATCAATGAGATTTTATTTTTCTGCTTTTCCACACTTTCTGGATTATTGATGGCATTCTGGTATAGAATTGTCCCCTAGCGGAGTCAAAAATTCTAGGTCAAGCCGTTGAGGCAAGCTATGTGGTGTGTAGGGAAGTTGCCAGTTATGTTTAATTGTAACTTCGGAACAAAGACAATCAGTGTCAGTGTAGGGTGAAGTTTACCATATATAATATCTACAGGAGCAGAAAATTAATCTAGAGTGTATGTCAGTTTTTAAAAATAATTTTTGCATCAACCACATATTGAACAAAATAAAAGTGCTTCCCAGTCTTTTTCTGCAATTCCATGATATCTCTTCTAAATTAACATATTTTGAACAGGGTTGTTCTTTGAAACTAGTGAAGGATCATGATTAAGAAATGGAACTGTGAACAAGACTCCTTGCTGAGATTTTGTTTTTGCCATAAACCTGTTGAATAACCTATGACAGTAATCATTCTTCATTTCTTATTATCTCATCCATAGTAAAACAAACAACTTTATCAAGTCACAATTTTAAATGTTTTAATTATTTCAGTTGTGTACTGGTGGCTCTATCAGGTATTGTGAAGCGGTTGACATGATGTGCCAGTGCCTGGAGGCTGTTAGGGTCTGGATGGGGGTTAACAAGCTTGTACTCAATCCAGACAAGACCGAGTTTCCCTCCCAAGAATTTGGTCAATATTCCATCACTCAGGCTGGGGGGTGAAAATTTACGCCCCTCAGACAGGGCTTCCAACTTGGGGGTCTTCCTGGACCCACAGCTGACCTTAGAACACCATTTGTCGGCTGTGACCAGGGAGGCATTTGCCCAGGTTCACCTGATGCACCAGTTGTGTCCCTACCTGGACCAGGAGGCGCTCGCAACAGTCACTCACGCCCTCGTGATCTCAAGACTGGACTACTGCAATGCGCTCTACATGGGGCAGCCCTTGAAGAGTATTCGGAGACTTCAACTCGTCCAGAATGCAGCCGCGCGAGCGATTGTGGGTGCACCTCGATACACCCACGTTACCCCTATCCTCTGCGAGCTGCACTGGTTACCGATCAGTCTCCGGATACGCTTCAAGGTGCTAGTCGTAACTTATAAAGCCCTTCATGGTATTGGATCTGGGTACTTGAGAGACCGCCTGCTGCCAATTACCTCCCACAGACCCATTAGATAACACAGGGTTGGCCTCCTCCGGGTTCCATCTACTAGCCAATGCCATCTGGCTACTACCCGGGGGAGGGCCTTCTCTGTGGCAGCTCCGGCCCTCTGGAACGAACTCCCCGCAGGGATTCGGACCCTCACCTCTCTCCAGGCCTTCCGAAAAGCCGTCAAAACCTGGCTTTGCCGGCAGGCCTGGGGTTGATGAGTTCCCTCCCCTCTCAACTTGTATGGTTGCGTGATTCTTGCTTATTTTAATTATCTGTATTTCGTTGTATGTTCCCCCTTTTCCCCTTTTTGAATTGTTCGCCGCCCTGAGTCCTTCCCGGAGAAGGGCGGCATACAAATAATAAAATTCAATTCAATTCAATTCAATTATTCCCTGTAATATACAATATACAATTGCAATATCCCTCATCAATGCAGATGAAACATCCCTAGTAAAAATTAAGTAACTTAGGGATATAAAATATGATCTTAATGGATCATTCATACAATATTGCACTCCATCGCTCACAAAAAAACAAACCTTCCCACAAAAATATAGTTTCCCTGGTTTTGGCTCTGTGAACTTAACCATTATGGTTTCATTACACAATATACTAGGATCCTATAGTTTGTTCAGCAACCTAACTTTAAAACAACCAAGCCTTAATAGATTTGATAAATCCCATTAGTGATTTTAGGAAGATATACCATATTATCAGTGGCAGGAAAAGTAACATTTTGCAAAATAAAGAGCAAGAGTACTTCAGCCCTGCCCTTGTATTTGGTCTTCCAGAGGGTGCAGAAATGCTGTGTTCCAATTCCCAATCTAAATAATATTATTCAAAGCATACTAAAGTCCAGGGTGAAGAATGTGTTTGGGCATATTGAGGCATGTGAAGATGTCATGCATTCCAGACATTTCTCAGTCGGCTTCAGTGTTTCCATTGGAACTGAATAGGTCTGTCTGATAGAAGAGAGCATTTGGGAGAAATAGTGCTTAATATTGGAGCCATTTCTGCATTTGTCAGAGAAGAGAAGTGGTAAAAAACCTGATGTTTTGAACTGCAATCCTCAGAAAGCCTTACCATGCTAGCTGAGGCAAATAGTCCACATTTGAACAATTCCATGTTAGTCACCAGAGCTAGAGAGATGAAATTAAAGCAGGTATTTAGAGCTTCAGGACTTCTCCCAGCCCTTAATTGACTTTTATTTCCTTCCTTTCTTCTTTCTTCCCTCTCTCCCTCCTTCCTTCCTTCCTTTATCTTTTATAAATTATTTATTGGACTTTTAAAAGAAAATACCCAAATAAGTATACAAAAAACGATGAAAAAAGAGTAAAAGAAAGTAATATAAATAAATAAACCAGGGATTTTAAAATATCATTAAAGTTATCTTTATACTATCCTATTAATTACTTTTGAATAGTTAAATATGTTTTTTCTATAAATTATAGAATAGAATAATATACTGAATTCAGTCTATATTACTAAAACTTTATTTTGATTTAGCTATCTCATAAAACTGCAATACAGATATTATGCACAATTTCAATCTTTTATATTGTTCCAATTTATGTATTAAATTATAATCTAAGAATGATTTTCAGTTTGAGTTGAAATCTCTTGTTAAATTTTAAGGTATGAATATATTCTAGACATTGAAACTTATTTTCACAACTTAGCCATTTTGGAAGGAATCGGGTTATCTTTTTAGTACGAAACTCACAGTCATGTAGTATCCTTGTAGAAGTTATCAAACATAAAGACAATTCACTGTGCTTTGAGAATGCATATAGTTTGATAAAATTTGGTATAAAAATATAAAAAGTTGAAATGGGAATTCAGTTTTTAAATTTTGCTTCATTCTAGTACGAATTGTTTTCCAGAATTGTTGAACTTAATGTTGCTATCATCAGTTCTGAATAACTGCTCATTTCAATTCCATCAACTTTTAAAATAATGAATTGTCCCTTTTAGTAGTCAAACTGGATGATACGTTCACAATAACTCGCTTTATATCAATTCTCTCTGAATACATTTTTCGGTAAATTAACACTCTTTTTCCATTGAAATTCCAGTTGTTGCATCTCTATTACTGCATCCATTTAAACATAGTCTTTTGTTTGTTCAGATCCTGAATCAAACTGCATCAGAACTCTATAAATATGACTCAATAATATGTTCTGAGTTATGTACTACAGATTTTTCAAATTTAATCAACTTTTTTAGTATTCCCCTCTACATTTTTTTATACTCTGCTGGAGTTGGAAGTACTTATATGGATCGGCTAAACTAGGTCATTGTTTTGAATGATTTAAATAATTAAATCTTGCAACATGAACCAAGTATTAGCTCTCTGCTGAACAATTGTTTTGGATCTTCATCTTCATAAAATTCATATGATAGAAATAGGAAGAAATTCTGGGCTGATCCTTTTTCTGTTGTTTTTTTTAACCCCAATGCATAATTTATTATTGCATGATCTCTTATAGATTTTTTTCGGTTATGTCTAGCAGAGACATTCAAGCAAACCATTTGAAAGTCCTGTCTCCTTTATAGATGTAACTGAGTGATCAAGAGATATTGGTCTCTATGAAAACTATCTTAACCTGTTAGTATTAGTATTGTAATACAATTTAAAGTTTGGAGCCATTAATCCACTTCACCCTTTTTAGTTCTGCAGAATTTTGAATTTAATTTATTGGCACATATGTAGTTCAGTACATCTGTCAATCCTTTAGATTAGATTAGATTAGATTAGATTAGAGGTTTATTTATATACCGCCCTTTTCCCTGGGGGGACTCAGGGCGGCTCACAATCCAAAGGAAGGGGGAAAACAGACTTTTACATATAAGACAATACATGGTTAAAACACAACATTCATACCATTCGGGCGGGTTACAATCTTTAGCCCCAGGCCTGACGGGATAGCCAGATTCTGAGGTCTGGAGGGTGGTGAGGGTACGAATCTCCACGGGGAGATCGTTCCATTGGGTCGGAGCTACCACCGAGAAGGCTCTCCTCCACGTGGTTGCCAGTATTATTAATATCTTATTAATAATATGTACTGGAACTATTCAAAAAAGAAAATTAAGTGTTGGTAAAATATTCATTTTGATGACTGCAGTTCTACTTAGCCTAGTAAAATTTATTTTTCCCATCTGGAGATACGTGTTGTATTTTTTTCTAATGCTGTAGATAGTTATTTTTATACAAATCCTGATTGTTTTTGGTCATACAAAGTCCTAAATATTTGATCTTTTTAGCAGCAATGTTAAACCTCACTTCTATTTTCTTCCTCTGCTAAATTTCATATCAGCATTTGAGGTTTTTTTTATTAGATCCATAAGCTGGCATAAGTCCGTATTGTTGTATACATTTCATTAAGAGGGCTAAGGAGAGTTTTGCTTTGGTAATTGTAAATGGAGTTTTCCTGATGTTCTTTATTTTCTTTGCTAATGGTTCTAATGCTGATAAAAATAAGGAGGGCAAAAAGGGACAACTGTGTCTTGTTCCCTTTGGTGTGTTACCTTGTTGTGTTAAAAGTTGTTTATTATTATCTTGGCTTTCTGTTCTTTATAAATGCTGCACTTCCATTTGTTAAAATGTATGCCCTAATCCAGGAATAGCTTTTCTCATTTGTAATGAATTGATATCTAACACACACATAAATAGACACATACAGAAAGATTATATACACACACATGTATACATATTATTAGTTATGAAAATTAGCTCCCAGCAATTCACTGGCTCTAA